GGGGGAGGACGAGGATCATCTGGATGCAGTTTTCTGATCGGCTAACACATTATACAAAAAACAGAACGCAGAACAAGCTGGAAAACGTCTCATTGTAATGGAAGGGGGAAGATGGCGTGATCGGCGTCAGAGGAGAAATCTTTCACCGAGGGGAATAAAGTTCGGGAAGGTCTCACCTTGGGCAGCATGTCGGGGAAGTAATCGGTCAGAGTGGAATAAGATTTTCCATTCATGGCAAAGCAGAACGGCTCGCTGTCGAGGAAAGCCCCTCCTTGCTGGTACAGCCCCTGCGTGGAGAAAGAGGAGACCCCAAAACATTTGATTCTATTCAGATGTGTAAATTAGATACAAGATCATTCAATACCAGATCAGCTTTTTTTATTTCCTTAATCTGAGGGCGGGGCATGCAGCAGAAATGACTCCCAGAGGCATGATGACATTTGTAGTTTTATCACAGCTGGAGGATGCCTGCACCTGCCATAAACTTTACCATTTTTCTTATTAATTGGCATTAGAAGCTCCAGTCCCCGCCTCCTGTGATGGAAGGTGAAATGGCGTCGCGTAGACCACTTTCGCTTTGTACTTTCCACAACATATAATTTGCAGCAAAGATCAGAAGTGAACGTGACATCCGATCCAAAAACCTGACCAGCAGGCGATCGGATCGCCATCTTTAGGTCTTTGTCTATAAACGCAGCCCCATTCAAAGATACGGCGCAGCGGGGACTGAATTTGATCTGCAATGCCCAAAGAAATGCGAAGCCTCGGGACGAATGTGCGCATCACACACAGGAAACCATTAAAGTGCACCTGTCCTCGCTGCGAGAGCTCCGGCATCCATAATGGCGCCCACACTCACCTCTATGGGCTCCTCCCCCGCCGCCACAGGCTCGGACGGGATGAATTTCAGGGTCGCGGAGCTGTTGTAGGTGGGAGGAGAGGCGTTCACGAAGAAAACTTTTTCCGACGACTCCACAAGATGGCAGCTCTTGGCGACATTCACCGCGGTCAACATGTTGTCACCTAAAGAGGGGGGAGAAAAAAACCCCGTTCAGGTCCAGTTTGGGAGATTTAACAGAATTCCCTCCAATCGGACATCCCATAATGTCACTGACCGGTCACCATGACGGTGCGGATGTTGGCTTTTCTCAGGGAGTAGATGGCGGGCGATGTCTCCGGTTTCAGCACGTTCTTCATGACCAGGAACCCCAGAAAGGTCAGGTCGCGTTCCGCCGACTCTCTAGGTGGGAAATTTCCGTCAAGTTGTTTACCAAATGTTTTAAAATTGCGCTAACCCCCCCC